GCATGTGCATGCCCTTGCATTCGTCAGTAAACGTACCCGGTTGTTTTTTACGTTTATCGGTGTAACACGGGTGGTCAGTTGGATAATTGGATGTATCGAAATATTCGAGCAGGTAATTTTTCAAATCATCGTGAAAACTATTAGTTAAAATTAGGTAGATAAAAGAATCGGTGTCCATGTAACATAAAAGGAGCCTATCCGGTCCATATAACGGTAACATAACTTCATAATGGAATTTGTACATTATAGTTTTACTGATATCCAATAATGACTGCCCGATTAAAATTGGTTTATAAAAATTAATCCTCTCCTTTTACATGTGAACAGCAACTAAATCTTCATTGAATATGGTGCTGTGGCTATACGACGGTTTTGCAGCCAACTTTGACAATTTCTCCGGGTTACATACGAGTTTGATATTTTGGTGTTTTCTAACATTCTCCAAAGTTTTTCCTATAAAGTCAAAAATAATTTTAAAAAATATTTGTATATATATATATATATATATTCTTACCGTAGTTTGAGTTGATCATCGTTTTAGGTAAGTTTTGTCCAAACGTGGTGGTCGCTTTTTTGCGCAAATCCGTATTAAGCTGAATGTAAGAAGCCAACCAACGAGATTGCATAAATCTGATACATTTATGCAATTTGGTAACTACCACACCATGTTTTACAGCTTGTTTTAGAGCTCGGTAATGTACAATGTAACCACGTTTGGGATCTAGTGTAGTCATCAGTTTACTACATTTAGAAGACGTTAATGGCGGTTTTTCGATAACAGGAAAAAACGGTAAATCATTGTGTAAATCGTGTAGTTCTCGGGGATAATCTACATCGACCTCTGCAAGATAACCGTATTCACCGTCGTCGGGTGTATTGAATATCTCTTCAAATGTAACAGTCGACCACTCAAAATAGCCAAACGGAATGGGTTCCATAATTGCTGTAAAAATAAACAAATATTATTGTATACGTGTATACAAATATATAAGTAAAATTCTTACCCTTGCCATATAAATTAGTAGCGTCTAAATATTGAAGATACTTGTGTGCTTCATTGGGTTTGTAATCGACTAAGCCCGGGTGGTTTGCATGTGCATATCGCTGATTAACCTATATTTAATAATTGCTTTTAGTTTGATAAATGTTATTAATTTTTTTTATTCAATAATTATGCTTACTTGTGTTAGACCCCCACGTATACCCAGTTCAAACATTAACAGCATATCTGGATCTGATAACAACTGAATGTGAGCGTTTGTGTACTTTAACGTGGCCTTCAATAAAAAACAAAATGTATCCATTATTCTTTATTTTAAAAAATTGAAAAAAAGGGTCAAATGTATTCCTTGAATCCGAACGATTATTTTGAACATTAAACGGTCTCAGCACTTACAAAAAATTACACAGTTCATTATTGAACATTGATTTCTCCCAACACTCGTCGGTCACTTGAACCGAACGTGAACCAAAATAATGCTAATCGGGATAGAATTCCTACGTTAAATATTATGATGTGTCGAATTATACTTGTAAACATGAGAGTTTACTATATATATATATATATATATATACATTTATATTAATCTTTACTTTTATTTTGAAACTTAATGTAAATCTTATAATACATTATAATATCTAAAATTATAATGAATTGCTTTGAAAGTGTTGAATTCATTACTATACACATAATCCCTACCTCATATACACATATTGAAGGGCTCTGTGCGGTGTGCTCCATTGGGATTCCAGACGGTAACACGAACAACAAATAAATATTAAATTCCCTCAGGCGAGCCATCCAGATCCACCACAATGGCATATATATATATATGCCATCGAAAACTACGGATATATGTGATTTATTATTATTTTTCTATTGAAGTTATTAATTTAAGAATTTAATGTTCATTATTGAAAAAAAACATTTAATTCATCTGGCTGATAATTTCAACGGGCACGCGGTGTGTTTATCGTGATACTGTATACTGTATTAATTTATATTTAATTTTGTGTGAATTTGCTTGGATACCAAATAAACGCACTTTAAGTAAATAATTTTGAACGAATTACGGCGATTTTTGTGTTATGGAGAGCAATTAAAATTTTTAAAATCTTCGCAAAAAGCTTACGAGTTCTCTGTGTACAGACATTACCGTCGTGTATTGAATCCTTTTCGGCAGACGAAAATCACGATATGTATAGAAACACCGTATTGGCCACCGATCGGTCAGAAAC